ATATTTTTATATTAAAATGAACAATTCTATGGAATAGAAATAGTACAAGTATCGATTATATCCTATGCCTTGTTATATGATTTCGGAGTTAGACACTATTATTTTTAAATAATTTTTACATTAGAACCATCCTGCTCTCATACGAAAGCCGTGAAATACCTGACTGAGTGCATAAAACAAGAATGTTGTTTAATTGGAACACCATGGAAGAGTTATTTAAGGTATTTTATATTATTCAATTTTCTACAATTAGTAATGTTGATTCCGTTAGGAAACGAATGTGAAGTGATCATTTGTATGTGGAACATGTATATATTCTGTACACATTATTATTTAGTTGCTTTATCTAATAATATAACTATAAATCCTCTTTATTTTTTTTTAGCACTCCAAAACCAATTTCCCAATGCAAAAGGGACACCTGTGTTTGCGTTGGATTGAATGCAAAAAGTTATCCTGCTAGAGGCGCATTTTATGCACCGGTTGAAGCAAATGCACCTTATTGCCATAACGAGGGGATTAAACTTTAATTATAAACAAAAGTCAATCTACACGAAAATGTATCTATTGATGAATATTAAATGAATAAACGAACAGTCAAATAGATTTTTGTATACATTTGATATACTATTATATATCTTATGTTTCGCTTAGGACACGTTTAACTAATAAAACATTTCGAACGACTTTGAATTTACGAGATAAATGTAAATTATTATCAATAAACGCATGAAAAAAAACGTTTCTTTTTGAACATGCATAAACTCTAGGACATATTCGGATGTAAAAAGTTATTTCGTTTGATAATATCTATATATATATACTCGTTGCACGTTATTTTAATATATATAAAAATTATATAAAAACTGGATTTGTGTCTTATCTTTAATAATATTTATTTTTTTATTGCATTTCAATAGTATAAATAGTATGAAAATTATTTGCATTTCAACTATTTTAAAATCGGTATGATTCTGGTTGTACAGTAAATAAAAAAAATCAGAAAAGATGAATTTCAAATATTCGATATTATTCATATGTTTTGTGGGAGTGTTGCACAATTCCTATGCAGATGGTAAACCATTTTATATTTTGAAAAACAAGTAGTGATTGAGTTTAATTTTCGTTTTATTTACGAAATGATAAACGTGTATACACAATTAAATGTATAATTTGTAAAAATTGAAATATAATGATTCATTATTTTCTTACAATTATATTATTTGATATTAGGAAAAAATGTTGTGCTGGAAAGAGGCATGACTCCTGATTGTACTTTTAATGAAAACGATGTTTTGCTTTACGTTTACGCAAGGTAATAATCAATCGATTATTTACTGATTTTATTCCATATCTACGCGATGCTATTGATTTTTTTCTATAAAAAATGTAACAAGAATTTAAACAAAAATATAATTCAACAATCAATTAACAATTGTATATTTTAGGGATAAGCAAGATTTCACTATTCTTTCGAAATGGAATTTAACAAGTTATGAACTATTTAATCATCCTGAAATATCCCATCATCAAGTTGTATTTCTCATACATGGTTTTATTTCAAGCATGAGTCAAGATAATTTCATAGAAATGGCACAAGCTTTGAAAGAAAAAGTAAGTTTTTATAATTGTAAAGAGAGAGTAAGAATAATAAAACATTTAGTAGGAGAAAAAGTATTTCTTTGATTAATTTATTACAATATATATTATATATAATCAGGTTTTTATTGTACAATTTATAAAGTTTTTTACAATGTTTTATCATTTACAATATATATTATTTTCAGGATAATTGTATTGTAATCGGGATTGATTGGAAGAAGGGCGCTTGTAACGGTTTATCTAGTTTTGTAAATTTAGTTGGTTATCCTCAAGCCGTCAAAAACACACGTCTGGTTGGAAAATATTTATCTGAGTAAGTAGCGAGAAATGTATCGCAAAATTTAATTGTTTTATTAATGTTAATACACATTATATAATATTTTGTTGTTGTTGATCTCTTTTTATAGGGTTACTAAGATGCTCGTAGATATGAAAAAAGTGCAGATGTCAAATATACGATTGATTGGGCACAGTTTGGGTGCACAAAGCGCAGGTTTTGCAGGAAAAGAAGTTCAAAAGTTAAATTTAGGAAAATATAGAGAAATTATCGGTCTTGATCCTGCTGGGCCATCTTTCAGAAATAATAAGTGTCCAGACAGACTGTGCGAAACAGACGCAGAATATGTTCAAGTGTTGCACACATCGAATATGTATGGAACATACAAAGAGATTGGTACCGTTGATTTCTATGTGAATTATGGAGAAGGCCAACCTATTTGTTTGAAAGGTACACCATATATTAGATCATAGGTACTCCAGATAAAGATCAAAATTTAAATAAAAATATTCATAGAAGGTAATATATGCTCGCGTTTGTTACCACTTATTTTTGTTTAATAATAATTTGTAGAACCAATCTGCTCTCATAACAAAGCCGTGGTATACTTTACGCAGTGCATCAAACACGATTGTTGTTTAATTGGGACACCATGGACTAGTTATTGGAGGTACTTAATAATCTTTAATATTTAAGGGTTTCTTTCTCTGTTGATTTTATGATGACAAATTTTTTTTTATTTTTAGCAAACCGTTAGAACTTTCTAAATGCACAAAAGAAACATGCGTTTGCATCGGGTTGAACGCAAAGAATTATCCTGCTAGAGGCTCATTTTATGCAGCAACTGCCTATTTACCTCCATATTGTTATAAAAAAGGTCTTAAAAATGAATTATAATAAGAGTTTTTATACATTAAAATGCATGTATTAACAGATAAATAAATCAATTATATACAGTGGCTCACGCGTATTTGAACACTTACCCCACGAAATACACTTTGATTAATTATAATAATTATATTATACAATACTTACAGAAATAATATTAACATTGTGAGTTTATTTTATATTTTTTAAATATGACTTTTTAGATTATATAGCAAATATTTCGATTTGCTTGAAATCGAAATACGTATACGCGAATGAATTCTGGCGATAACAATGTAATATTTACATAACCGTGTAAAAACAAACACGGTTTCCTTATTAATTAAAATTTCGGAAGTGTCTATTGCACAAATTGTATATATAGCCCTAATTTAAATTAATTAAAGTTAATCAAATAGAAACAAACATAAAATGTTGCATTTTAGTATATTTATATTTTCGTATGAATTACTTATGTAATATCAGGAAAATGCATCTTGTGTAAAGGTAAAAAGATAAAATTTTTAATGTAAATGGGCTTAGAAAATAAAAAATTCAAAATGATTTTAAATTTACGAAAAATGGCTCCTCGAGGAAGTTTATTTATGAGAAAAATGTAAATTTTTGCCGATAAATGTAAGGACAATTTTGCATATTCGAATGTAAAAAGTTATATCATTAGATAACATCCACTTCCTTCCTGTTTTTTTGTCAACATTTCGGTATTTATTATGACATTTATATATTTTACACCAATGTATTAACCAAAATATTCTTATCTCAAACATAATATTACAGTTATAGTGTTTTTCAATAATATAAATAGAGATAGAGTTATTTTTCCAACCAGAGTATTCCTAAGTCAAAATTAGTGCGTTTCCGTATTTATAGGAGATCAAAATAAAAAAAAAATGAATCTAAAATATTTGATATTGTTAATATGTTTTGTACAAGTGTTACATTATTCCAACGCGGCTGGTAAACTATCTTCAATTTTTTTCAAACGAATTTCGTTTCATTTCATTTCATTTCAGAAGTTATATACATGTGTAGAATTTTGATGAGATAGATGATAGATTATTAATAATGAAAGATCATTTTCTTAGATAATTCGTCGTTACGAGAAAATAATTCGTTACAATCAAAAAGCTTGGTTTCATCTTGTAAGTTTAACATTAACAAGGCTGGATTTATCTTATTCGCAAGGTAATAATCAAACGATTATATTTGTACTTTTTTTAATAGACATTATTCAACTATTAACTATAACTATATACTTTAGGGAACATTCAAAAGGTCTTTATATTTTGGAACGGAATTTAGCGAGCTACGAACTATTTAAAAATGCTCAAATATCGCGTCCAATTATATTTCTTGTACATGGTTTCCGTTCAACTCCAAACGATACAATTTTGTATAACTTGGCCAGTGCTTTAATTAAACAAGTATGAATATATAAAAAGTAGGATTATCGAGACGTTTTTTACTAATAAAAAATACAAATTATTATCAGGATGACAGACTTGTAATCTCGATCGATTGGAAGAATGGTGCTTGCACTGGTGGAACTTCGATTATCGAGTATATTACTTATCCCAAAGCCGTTGAAAATACACGTCTCGTTGGCAAATCTATTGCTGAGTAAGTGGCAACAAATATATTCCAAAATTGTATTCTTTAATATTATCTACACATGTATATATATATATATATATATATTTTATTCCTTTGAATAGATTTACCAAGATATTGGTAAATAAATATAAAGTGCCGATGTCAAATATTCAAGCAATTGGACACAGTTTGGGCGCACATGTTGTTGGTTTTGCAGGAAAAAATGTTCAAAAGTTAAATTTAGGAAAGTACAGTGAAATTATCGGGCTTGACCCAGCTGGACCTCTATTTAGATGGAATGAATGTCCGAATAGAATTTGTAAAACGGACGCAGAATATGTTCAAATTCTACACACATCGGAAATAAAAGGAACAACGACACAACTTGGTACCGTTGATTTTTATATAAATTATGGAAAAAGTCAGCCTGGATGCGGTATTAGTAAGTACATATAGATTTTATTTTACTCTGATGCAAACGGTTAATATTTATTAATAATTTCCAAACAGTGAAATATAAAAATAATACGAAAGTCGATTAATCTTTACCTTTCCAGACGAATCCTGTTCTCATGCAAGAGCCGTGGAATACTTAACTGAGTGCGTAAAACGTGAATGTTGTTTAATCGGAACGCCGTGGCCTAATTATTGGCAAGTATTTTGTATTCTTTAAAATGTTGCATTTTTTTATTATCGGTTATATAATAGAAAGCAAGTAAAATGATCGTTATACAGGGTGATTCACTAACTCTTGCCACCAAGATAGTTCTGAAAGTGTGATAGTAGCAAAAACTTTTACAAAATAAAAGTTGCATGAAACATTCGGGAGTATAATATGACGTCAGATTTTTTTGTTGCTAGGTTTAGTCGTTTCCGAGATTTAAGGGTCAAGTTTGTTTTTTTAAATGGAATGGCTATATTTTGATATTATTTTTAGGATATGTAAAAAAATTTCTTTAATTTTTAGGGATGTGAGACCTTTTTCGCAGTGCACAAAAGAAACTTGTGTGTGCGTTGGTTTAAATGCAAAGAAGTATGCAAATAGAGGCTCCTTTTATGTACCAGTTGAAGCCAATCCTCCCTATTGCCATACTGAGGGTTTAAAGCTTGAATTGTAAAAAGAAATTATTATTTAATCTAAATATATATATGTGTGTGTGCGTTTGATAACGAATAAATAAATAAATGATATAAATGAAAATAAATGAATAATAACAAATTAATCTATTATTTTCTTTGGATACATTTAACATACATATTTTAAAATGCGTATATATAGGAAATGAAAAATGAAGAGATTTCGGAATATATAAAAATAAGATAAATAAATAATTTATTTATATATTTGTAAAATGTGTATTTTTCTCTCTCGTTTTGGTATATGTCAACATAGTAAATGTATTTTGGATAATTTATTTTAAAGGTACTCCCACAGAAATATCGCATACTCATGCATATATATTTATTTATCGCGAAATATGCATATACTTTTTGTTAGTTGTAAATAATTATAAACGGTGAAAACGATAAATGCACAATGATAATCGGTAAAAAAAAGAAAAACTTTATCCTCGAGGTATCCTTAAAAGACAAGGAAAATGCCAACGAGGGTCAAATAAAAACGCTAAGTTATTTCGTTATTTCCGATTTTATGTACAAAAAATGATTAAAAAACATACACTTAATTATAATCCTTTTTTATGTTTAATACATAAAAATAATTGCATTGTGTAATATATAACTTTTGTTTGAAGTATTTAATCGTTAGAGATGATGTAATAGAGCACGCATAATAAAATTACATTGATTATTTTTATCCAATCTTGTAAAATGAATTTTTTCATGATTATTAGGCTGATCTTCTTAAATAAAATATAATATTTACGCATATAGCGTTTAGAATCGTTCTGCATATAAATTGACTTTGCATCGAAAAATTTATCCCATATTGTACATATTCCGATGAATAATTAATTAGAATGTCACGTATAGGAATTAGTTATATTATAATATATTACAGCTTTTTACATTAAAAGATATGAATAAAATAAAAATACTTATTGTATATATATATAATTAATTTAAGTTTTAAATTTATATAAAAATATATAGAGACTGATATAAATAATTATGTATTTTTACAATTTATAATAATTGTGAAGTAGACATTGTACAAAGTATATCCTTTTAAATACTTCTGATATTAAGAAAGAAAGAGAAAGAGAGAGACAGACAGACGATATAAAATAAATAATAAATAGTTTTCAATATCCCATACCGCTCATGTCACATACACTCAGCACATTAACGTCATTATATAATAAATATTATAATTGTTAAATTTTATTTCTTCTTGAGGTTTTTGTGGGGAATAAATGATGGATTAAAGTTTAACATTAAAATCATTTCTGTCATGATCGTATAAAAAAAGCTTATGCTCTTAATAATATGACATAATTATTATTTACCAATTTTCACTAACTAGTTGCTTTAAAAAACATGCATTATATATTTTCAATTGTAATGGTTGCGCACGAAGCACGAGATGTTGGTACATACACGAGATGTTAAAATACTGAACATTGTACCATGTTTGTTTTTACCAAATACGATGGTGCATGCATCTATTATTAAGGCAGTAAAAGATTAATCAACTTTGTATTTGAGTTTTTACTATTATAATATATATATATCGAAAGAAAGAAAAAAGAAATTTCAGTCCATGCTAAATATAAAATAAAGAATTAGCAGTAAACATCTTTGTTTGTATAAATAAATTCATTCTATATTCATTGTATAAAATTAATTGTACTTCCTAGTGTCCTCGCATGCGTATGAACATTGCGCCCACGCAATGATACTTTTATAAGAAAAATTACGGCAAATTAAAAAGTGGAGAGCAGGTATTTCCAAAAAGTCTTATTAATGTACATCGTTCTACATAAGAGACACATTCATTCCGACGTTATTCGTTGAATAAATCTAAAAATATTTTCTAGGAAAAAATTCTTTGTCTTAATAGTTATTATAGAATGAATGTACCTTTCTCAATAAGGCAGGTCTTCCTATAAGAAACAGAAAATGCTGTACATTAAGAACAAAAGTCTGCTGTACTCTAAATGCGTTATACATATAAACATATATAAATGCACTCATGAAAACATCTATATACAATGTACGTGATTACTGCATATTACAACAAGCAATTATGGATAGTGAATTAGTTTACCGTTCGTTCATTTTCTATAATACTTTCTGTGCTCTTTAAGAAAATAAAGAAACAATAATAATAATTATTANNNNAAACATCTATATACAATGTACGTGATTACTGCATATTACAACAAGCAATTATGGATAGTGAATTAGTTTACCGTTCGTTCATTTTCTATAATACTTAATATATTATCTCGCTTTATGCTAATTTTGAAAATATCAAAAGACAGAGGCTTAAAAAAAAAAAAAAAAAAAAAAAAAAATAAAAAAAAAAAGTATAGTAAAAAGTCTATTCTAGTCAGCCTTCTGTATGTTCCCGCTTTGTATGGTATTTTAGCAGCATTTGCTGATCTTCTCGACGATTGTTATTAGTGTTTGTTCGGATTAGGGTCAAAATCCGATTCAGTATTGGAACCGGAAGACTCGCTTGTATTAATGTTCGCACTGCAGCGTGAGCTCCTTCGGTTGCTGGTGCTCGAGTGCTGGCATTTTTCACTACGATCCATTCCACCTACAATAATTTCAAATTCTAATTAAAATCTTTCGTTCGATAATGATATTATTTCTCCTTATCTCTTTCACACACAACACAAAAAAGAAAACTATTGGAATAAATACTTACTGGTTAGTGGGGTATGAACTTCCACCTTTATGTTAGCTGTGGCAGTAACCTTTGTCGTGATGTGAGAAGTCGATGGCACAGGAGATGTTCGACTAGATCCGCTTGTGTCTGATCCGCTACAATTCTGTTAGTCAAACAAAAGCAAAACACACTTGTTAAGCATGCTATCTGGGGGAGCATTGATATTTCTGTCCATAGAAATAAAAGAGAGAGATTATTTAGCATTCTACATCAAATGAAAAAGTTGTGTTAAGCAATATTTGATGGGTTTAAAAACATTCATAGTACGCGAAGCAATGAAAAATATTTTGAGAAAGAGAGAGAGAGAGAGAGAGAGAGTTTGTGACTTAATAAAATATTATTAAGCCGAAATATATATCGAATGAATATTCAAATAAATGGTGAATTTATTTCCAAGAAACATACCTGATTACCACAAGTCGACATCGTCTCGACTTTTAATTCGGGTTGGACGATGATACATGATTCTTGCGCACTGTGCCAGGAATTAGGTTCCTCGGTGATGGTCGTTAACGATGGCTCCGCGTGGAGTCTCGCATTATCGATTTTATGAGTTCTTCTTGGTGGCGGTGGTGGTTTGGATCTTCTAATGATCGGAGAAGCTGGTGGCGTCGGCGTAGATATGCGATCAGGATGATCGTTCGGTACGATCTCGGCCGAAGGACCGATCAAAGATAATAAGATTGGAAAAAAGAAGAGTCCATTGACAAGGCCGATTCCGATCAAAGAGAGAAGTACCAGGAAGAAATATCGTACAATGAATTCAAAGTCCGAGAAAGCTAACATGACTACTGCCAATAGGGTTGTGAAAGCTCCATGAACAACGGGAGCGTACATGTGTTCCAAGGCCAAACGTACCCTCCTATCTCTACTGCCAACGCTCGTAACAAAACTCTAAAATAATAACAACAAGAAAGACAATGAGAAACGTAATAATTCGTAATGTTCATATATTATTTAAATGCAATACTTTAGTACTTACCAAACAAATATGGACAGTAAAGTGTACGGCTATACCGACGCTGACAACAAGGAGGACGGCAGGAACGGCGCTGAGTTTAATTTCGCAAAGTCCCATAAGTCCAAATAGTTGTAAAACCACACCAGCGAGAGCAGTTCCCACCAAAAGCGCAGCCCACACGTTCAAAAGAAGTATACCAACAACGAAAATACTGGCCGCAAGCGCAGCAAATAATGCTATAACTAAACAACTTCTCAAATCCATGTATTGTTCCCAAAATAAGAAAGGTATTCCCGATGGAAAATTGGGTAGGCCGCGTTCTTCGAATTTTCTGCACAATGTTCTTACGCTTCCTATCAATTCCGTAATCTCTTGAGTGTCGGTAAGTTTGTGAAGATAAAAGGGCATTTGCGCGTAGGTAAGAGGCATACTCTTCGGTATTTTTAATTCGTGATCGTTGGTATAGATCCATTGTCTTGGTTCTGGCCTAAGATTGGCCTGAGAAGCACCGTAAACCAAAGCATCGTTGGAAGCCCAGGCGCTTAAATAATTATAAAAAGCGCGCGGATGAATGATGCCGTCGGAATCGACGAGTCTTACTTGCGTGATCAACGTTTTATCAATCGGATTATCTACGTGGCCCGTCTGCACGAGCAACTTGTAGGCAAGAATTGCCTCGTCACTCGCATTTTTGTACCACCTTTCTTGCGTGATACAACCATTCTTGTAATCCTTGTCGAAGGCATTCTGCAATCCCTTCAGCCAATCTCTGAAGAGGCTAAGCCAGAATTCCGGTAAACCTCCATTGTCGTTCTTAATGACATTTTTTATTCTCATAAAAGCATCGTGATACTCGTATAAGAGTTTTTGGTTATTCGGATATTCGAAATCTCGGCCAGTGACCGCGTACATGTTGTAAAATCCAAAATGTTTGGCCTGAGCTGCGAGGAAGGCATGCTCGTTGGAATTTTGAGGAACCAAATCGGTAAGTTCCAAGCCGTCTCTGACCCTCATCGCTTGCCAAATGCTACCAGCAAATACGATAGCTAGGACGAACATGCCAAAAACTTTAGTCGCTGGTCTCGTCACGAACGGAGCATAAGTTTTAGTAGCAAATTTCGTTAAAGAAAAACTGAAACATTCGTCTTGACTGCATCCGGTCAAGGATTCCTCCTCGGTACAGTTTTTGTCGAAGTCGATATCCATGATGTTACCGCCTACCCAGGACTCGTTTTGAGCGTTTTGAGAGGTCAAAATTTGCGTGCAAGTTTCTCGCCTCTCCGGTGGTATAGCTCTCGCTACGGTTTGTTTAGCCATCCCGTTATTTCTCCTCCCGGGATATTTATTTTTGCCGTTTTTCGCTGGCAAACAACAACACAAGATATCCGATCGACCGGATCTACGTCTTCTTAGATCTAAACTGACCATCGCGGGAAATACAAGTAACATGGCAGCAAGATTGAAGAGAAGTAAAATGCCTGCTTGAAGGCAAAATACTCGAAGCGCGGGGATCGGTATCAAGGCCGCAGCAAAGAACGCCGAGACGTTGCTCAAGCCGGTCAAGAAAACAGAGAGACCCGTTCTCTTGAGAACGACCCCGGTCTGTTCTCCGCTCGGCACCTCATTCACCGATAACTCTGCATACGTGTGCGTTAATAGAAACATATCGTGAACGCCGAGACCCAGCGCTAGAAACGGGACTATTTGCGTGGTGACTGCATTGAAGGGGATCCCAAGTAGGGCACAAAATCCTAAACCAGCGGCAACCGTTGCACCGACCAACATCACGCCAGCTATTCCTACGCCAGATTGAGAACGTACTGGATCTTTCCAACGTAATAACGCTATACCTGCGTACAAAACCTGTAACAAGATACACGTTCACAATGTATTTTAATATATTTACACCATAGTCCTATAGATATAAATAAAAATAATAATGATATATAACTCACCATCATAGTACAACCAATGGAAATTTTTAAAACGGACACTTCGCTGTACTTTCCAAGTATATCGTTCATCGTCGTCGAGCTGAAGGCATACAAATTGTAGGACGACGTATTGTTCTCTTCCAAATGTTTCTTCACTTTATTGCTGAACTCTCTTTGCCACGTTTCTAGCACATGAGAAGCCTTCTCCTGTGACCAATCTATATGATGTACCTTGTAGGTATTAGCCAAAAAATCGTACAGTTCTCGTTCGCCCATCAATTGAACGACCGTTTGCAAAGCTGCTGCTCGAGTTAGGTGACCAGTCTTGTTATGCTTAGCACCTCCGACGACTAACTCCTCGGGCCAGTGCATATATTTCGCAGCGAATCCGTAACAACCGCCGGTAAGTTCGACTCCTATGTCTGGTTCCTGGAATGAAACGTGTCCTACATTTAAAATCTCAAGGAAAATCTAGGGCGTCAATGGATAGCGAGAAATGAGACCGGATATTATCGCGTCGGCATACCAAACGAGAAGAGATAGGTCACGAAAAAATCCTACGAGTGTTATTTCATTACTTGGGAGGAACCTCCCTCGGATAATATTTTTATTCCATCCATTAAATGTAATTATCTTAAATTACGAATGTATCGATGTGCTATGAAAATAGAAATAGAGATCGAGAAGAAGAAGACGTAAATAAAAAATCAAATATTTAATCAAGCCGCGTACCTTTTTCTCTGATCGGACGGTATAATAAATCTAGACTTTTCAATTATGCGAAATTAATTGACCGTGTCCCGTATCTTCCCCCCCCTTTGTATTTCTTTTCGATCTCTTTGTAGTAGAAGATAATAACATCGCATGCAAGTTTCTTCGTGAATTTTTCTGCCCCCCCCCCTTTACTCTTTCGATTTTGGTTACTCGCGAATGACAGCGCATACGGTGGTAATTATAATACGATAAAAAAAAAAACTCCCATACCAACTCATATGGATGACACGTTAATCGTGTAATACATCCGACAAATTTTGTTTTATATAATAATGTTAGAAAAAATCGGAAGAAATATATTGAATTTTAATCGTTGACCATTACTACTACTACTACTACTACTACTACTACTACTCTATAGCGAAAAAAAATGAAATAAAGAAAATTCAATGGGAGGGAAGGCACATGCATAACACATGTGCAGGATACGAAGGAGCGCAACGACGAGTAATTTAACGATAGCGAAACGATCGGGTACGTAACGTCGTCCCTCGTACGACCACCAGGGTAGCGCAATAATGACGCACATCTCTCGATTTTATTATTTTAATGCTCGTAGCGGCGCTACCCACACGACTCGCATACTCATAGCTGATTTCGCATGGAAATCATTTCATTCACGGCGCGCACCGGTCTCCTCTTCCTGGCCGCCGCGGCCTATTCGAATCTATGACGTATGTATGTATGTATATATGTGTGTGTGTATATATATATGAGACCTCGTGATTCTTCGAAAACGACTAATATCATTTAACCCGTCTAAAATTCATTCCTACGGTCAAAAATCAAATATATATATATATATATATATTTTATAATATTCAATTTATTTTGTGAATAAATTGTACAGGTATGAACAAAATTTCATATTTCGTTCGCACCGTACGGGCCCACACAATATATCTGTGTGTGAACGTTCAATTAAATATTCATTATTTCCTTTCTTTTTCTCTTTCTCTCTCTTTCTTTCTATATATCCTCCCTCCGATTGTAGTAGTTTACATCATGAAGAGGATCCGCATAAGATACCCGCACGATATCAAAGCGAGTCGGTGCGGCCCCCCCTTCTTCCTCCTCCTCTCGCGCTCTCTCTCTCTCTCTCTTTCTCTGCTGAACGTGCACGCAAACGATTGCCACTGTAGTTGAATATTAAACGTATCGGGCATGACGTTCCTAACAACAAATCTCACGTACATGCGAGTTCCTGCGAAGATTTTCAAAGTTTCTAACGTTTTGTCTTTTACAACGACCCCATTTCCTTCACGTACTCTCTTTTCCTATATATTTCATTTATCTAAGAAATTCGTGAGAATTTCTAATAGAATTTATTTTGTTTTTTTTTTGCGCGCAAGAGCCTGATAAAATTTCAAATTCAATCTCCCACATAAATAAAATTGTTTTTACCTGTTGCGACTTCTTGTTGGGTGCGGTTTCCGGACACTCGGGATCCGTTGGGTCGAGACAGGGTTTGCTCTGGTAAGCATTCGTTATCCCAGCCCTCTTCATGTAGTCCTCGAGCGTCTTGAAGGGAAACATGAATTGCAGTTTTTTCATCTCGTCCAACATACCGGACGGATTGAGATTGGTCCATTGAACGGGCTTGTTCGTCTTTGCACCACTGTGTCGAATTAAATGAGGAATATTGGAACGTTTAGAAATTGGACAAAAAAAATACGACGATTTATTTCTAGAATAAAATTTGAATAGAGCTTACGGTATGTGAACGGGATGTTCGGGGCCTAAGAGTTTGCTTCCTTCCCAAAAACAATCCAAAGGTGTAATGATCGCGCATGGTATAATACTATCGAAGATCTGAAAACAAATAATCGTTCGATAATTTTTCTCTATTGCTGAAATAACAAAAACCAAAAAAAAAAGAAAAAAAAATAAGAAAATGATACAGGAACTTTGTGTATAGTTAAATAAGAAATATTTTTATTAGATCCGAGAAATAGAATGTTCTCTCTTATATTTCCTAGTAGTAAAAGATATTAGGATGGACCACCTGTAGAGGTTCTTGGAAACTCTAATAGGATGGTCAGTATTATACTAGATTTGTTTCTTCGTATACCTATGAAGATTTTTCGATATCGAAGTTAGAATTATCATCGAAAATAAACTATTAAAGGAATAATCCAACGTGAGATTTATATAAAAAAAGATGTTTCTATTGTTAAAGATTATGCAATAATATTGATCATCTAAAGTGAAGAGATGGAGTAGAAAGAAGGGGGGGGGAGGGAGGATACGTTGAGACGAGTTAGCGGAAAAGGAAGAGGCAGCGGTGGCGGCTTAGGCTCGGCGTGAATAGGTGAATAAGTATACGTGTATTCGGGTTGTGTGCGCGTGCACGTGTACGTATACGTGTATGTATATGTTTAAGAGTGAAAGAGAGAGAAGAGGCTCGTGCTTACGCGTATACATTTATCGTGGTTGTCATTTGAATTACCTGGTCGATGTAGTGCATGTCGAAGTTGGGTATGCTCGGCGCGTAACACATGTCTTTCAGTCTCCACGTGCTGCAAGCGACACGAAACACATGCATTCATGAATACAAGTTTGCATACTCTTAAAAGGCCACGTACGTGCCGATAAGCGGTAGAAAAAAAATGGTTCACCTTTCAAAAAGAAAGGTAAAAGGAAAGAGAGTATTCTTCTTCTATCGAGTTGTGTTGAACGGTTCGCGGGTTTTGCGGTTTTCGTTTCGCTTATCGGCACGCGCGTGCGTGGCCACATTTTTTCTTGTTTGATGTATAGAAGAAGAAGGCACAAGGATCATCATCATCATCATCATCATCATCATCATCATCATCATTATCATCAAATGCGTTTATTATTGCGTAACCGCGGAATTCGTGCGATGATCGATGAAAACAAATTGTTGGAAGAAAAATAACTCACATGTCGTAGAGATGTACGGTGGCCTGAGTAGCTGCCTTGAGAATCGCCAAATGTTCTTTCAACGCGGCAGGATGTAGAATGTTTGCCCCGGGATGTCTTGGGGTTTGGATAACGAGCTGGTGCGTCGACGGTGCAGCTTCGCCTAATGCTTCCGAAGCGTATTTTAATTCTTTTTGCAATCTTCCACCTTCTGAAATTGTACAACCAAACGACGTCTATTTAACAATAGGTGTGCCACCAATTAATGTTTTATAATATCTTAATATAATTAATACACATATTCTCTTTCGTTTATTGAAATATTCATTCATTCAATTTTCGAAAAAACGTCATCGTGCAAGCTTGAACTTTTCAAAGCCGACCCCGCCGTTAGAAGATCTATGTATGTACATATGCACCGCCTAGTAGACGACGATTCCTCGAAGAGAAACACATTGGGACACGCGCAGTGTCGTAACGCGCGTTCCTTTGACTTTACGAATACATATATAAATATATATATATATATACCGACAAAAAATGTTCCCCTCCCCTCGTTGGCAGCGTACCAATAAAAGCTTTCCTCGAAGCAGCCCGTAGAAACGACGACGACGACGACGATGTTGTTGAAAATCCAAAAGAGAATAGAAGAAGAAACCAAAAAAAAAAAAAGAAATAAAAAAAAAATAAAAAGAGAAAAATAAGATCTTTCGTAAATATCTATTTCTAAAATCTCGCCACTTAGGTGTATAAAAATAACGTGTGTATGCGTTTGTGGGACGTTAAGAAGCCCCTTCCCCCCACACACACACACACCCGCCACCCTCGATAGATCGCGAACGACGATTTGTAATTAGTCGGTAACTCCCTTGGGAATTACGAGCCTTCGTCGTAAATCATCGTAAATAGATTTAATAACGTCTTTACGACGAGGATACGAAGTTAACGATCGCGAAGATATTGAAATAGGCTATGCCGCTTTAAAAAGCTAATCACCAATCAAGCGAGCTCGATCGACCAACCAACCGACCAACCAACCACAACCAACCGAGCATCCCTTGATCGTGTTGCAATAGTAGTAGTAGTTGTAGTAGTAGTAACGTACGATGATCGTAGCCGGGAGATAGAAATAATTGCAAGATCGGGGTAAGATCTTTAGTATCTTTCAAGTTATCCCCTTTTGATAATAATGTAAACTGTTATCGATATACGTAACTCGCTATGTACAAATTATTTAACAACAACAACAACAACAACAACTGCTAAATAAGAAGAAAATCGTGGAAACGTTTGTCATCACGTAAATTCGTCATTGATCGTGCCGCGAGTGTAGTAAAAGAAAATCAATGGGTAAGAAGATCTCGAATCACGGATACGCGAGTCGAATTACTCCAGTAAATAAAATTCCGTTAGCTGGAGAACCGCGTCCGGAATATGTGTACATACGTACGGATGAAATCGTGTTTCCAGTCTGGCTACTGCAAAATAAAGAAGCAAAGCTCATCGAAAAGGCTTTTCTCCCTCTATCTATCTATCTCTCTCTCTCTCTCTTTCTTTTTCTTTTTCTTTGGTCAGGAGACCGATCGATGGAGTGAAAGATGAAAGAAAGAAGAAGAAGGAGAAGAAGAGACGAGAAAAAGAAGAGACTGGATAAGGTAGAAAGAGTAGGAAAAGAGGAGGAAGAGGAAGAGGAGGAGGAGGTGGAAGAGGCAATTGGAAGATACGCATATAAGACTGAAAGTAATGGACGAAGGGCACGAGGATGACGGCTGACGCGGACTACGTTGAGACCCCACCTAGTCAGATTTCACCGTCAAAAATGCCGACGGCGTATTTGCTCGTTCCGCCACGGCGCAGCCTCCGTAGACCACCCGTGTTGTGCTCGCTTCTCAGTGATTCTCAACTTCCTCCTTTCCAATCAAAGATTCGATTAAATCATTCCAATTAACTTTTTTCATTCCTTTCTCTTTCATTTTCTTGCAAGAGATCACGAGTATATAGATTTTGTTTATTTATTTTTCATCGATAATATCTACAATAATTTTGTAATTTTGGTTTCTTCCCTTTGTTTGGAAAATATTCATTATTATTATTATTATTATTATTATTATTATTATTATTATAAAGAAAAGTTAGTAAAAAGGGAGGGAGGAAGGAAGGAAGGGAAGGAAGGAAAGGAAGGAAGAAAAGGGCAGTGATTTATCGACTCGGTCTCTCTGTAATTATTTCCCCGTCTTCGTATTCCAAAATGGGGGAGAGGGGGGGGGATGCTGCTGAAATAGCAGAAGCAATACACCCGGCAACTAAACGAATATGAACGAACGAACCCGTCGTTCCGGTAATCGACGAAAAGGAAATACGAGGGATGATCTTTTTCGCATTTGGTATATCTACCCAAGTCCCCCCCCCCCACGAAAATGACGACGACGTTGTTCTCTCGAGTCGATTATTTCTTTTCTTGCGAAATATTTTTCTATACGAATCTAATTAAATTAACGAAGAGAGAAGGAAAGGGGGGAGAAAAAAAAAATACGAAGAAGAAGAAGAAGACACGTTATATGGGAGTAGAAATTGGAAGAGGAAGTGGAGGAGGGAGGAGACGGAGGCAAAAAAAAAAAAAAAGAAAAAAAAAAGAAAGAAAAAAAGAAACTCCTCGTGGGTTCCCGTACCGAGAATGAACAACCGATATTTAACGATAATTTGATGGTGGCCGCGAGGCGAGGCTTGAATCAACAGAGGAAAGGGGCTTTACACGGAGATAGAAGAAGAGGAAAAGAGTCGAAAGAAAGGAAAGGAACACACGCGTGCTCGGTGAGAAGAAAGAATCGAATAAAGAGAGCTGGTGGAGGAAGAGGAAGAGGAGGAGGAGGAAGGGAAGAAAAAAAAGAGGAGGAAAGCAGGTGCACGCATCGGAGAGATCGACTCGATCTTCATCAAAGATCTTCCAACCCCTGTTGGTCTCTTTGCCCTTTCTCTCTCTCTCTCTCTCTCTCTCTCTCTCTCTCTCTCTCTCTCAATCGTTTTCTTCATTTTTCTTTTTCTTTTTTTCTTTTCGAATGTTCGCGGAGAAGCGAACTACGGTAGCAAACGGTGACGGGGTGGAGCGAAACTCCTTAAATTTCAAACGAGAAGCCACTTAAGACGGACAAGTTGAGACACGACCGGTCGAATCGTTAAAGGGATACTTCTGTCCAATTACCGGTTACACGTTAATTTTGTAATATTACGAGACGAAAGGCGGATCCATCCGGTGTGTGCTGGACAACAACGAAACGTTTTCCACCCCCTCGCGAAATAATCATTGCTTGTTCATGGACATCAAGCATTGAAGTCTCCTACTCTTACTCGGCTTACGGATTCTTTTCTCTTTTCTAACGTATTTTATTAATCGATTAAAAAAAAAAAAGAAACGTAAGCAAATTATGGAGATGTTTTTATCGATGAAAAATACAACGACAACAACAACAACAACAAAATACGAATTAATGAAAAAGCGATTTTTTTTTGCAATGGGGCCAACGATATCGAATTTCTATCTGATACTTTTCATAATACAACGTATACGCGTGGACAGTTTTATGGTGTGTGAAAATGCCTATAAAGACCACGTGCTCTGTAGAAGAAGAGCCACGGCGTCATCTCCCCCTAGAGAATTTCCCATATGACGCAACTCTACTCCTCGAGCGACCGTATAAGTCGCGTGACCCTTCGCATCTCTTATTCTTGCTTGTCGTCAGGAAGGTTATTTTTAAGACAAATTCCCCCCCCCCCTCTCCCCCGAATGTCCTGTAATACGAAACCTCGATACAAGATCATTCAGAAATTCTTTTGTCGATTTAACGATTTCACGAGAAACCAGTAAGTTTTATCATCGATTATTAATTGTATAAGAGTATATTAAATATTAAATTTTATCAAAGAGGAAGACTTCGAAAAAAATAAAAAAAAAAATAAGAAAAGTTTGAAAGAAGAAGGAGAACCCCTGTGTAAATACGTAGACGACTATTTTCCAGGTGGCTCGTATTCCGGCGGCGTTACATTGTGCGCCCGCGTGCGTGTGCGCGCGCGCGCGCGCGTACGTACGTACCTCACGCTAATTGCCAATTAAACGTCGCGAAAGAGAAGGCATGGATTTTCGCGCAACAGGTCGAACTTCCTTTTTCAACTTTTACTCTCTCCTCCCACCCTTCGTCGTATCACCATCATCATCATCATCATCATCATCATCATCATCATCATCATCATCATCATCTTCTTCTTCTTCTTCTTCTTCTTCTTCTTCGAAAAATGTTATTAGAGAAAGATACAATGGAAAAGAAAGCGCGCGAATGGAAATACGATTTCGGGGTTGATGCCCGTCGAATGGAAGGGTGGAGAAGAGGGACGCGGAGAGAAGGACGTAGAGGATCCAGAAAAGGGCTGTTGGTTCTTTCGTTACTACTACTACTACTACTACTACTACTACTACTATTACTACTACTACTACTACTACTACAAGACTAACTCTCTCGTGGCTCTCCTTCCTCTCACTGAACGGCCGACCAAGTTTCGGAAGAGCAAGAACACGTGGAAGATACGCGTTCACGAGAGAGAGAGAGAGAGAAAGATAGAAGGAGATGGACTAGGGACTGGGGTAGGGACTGGGGTAGGAACTGGGGTAGGAACTGAAAGATCCGAAGTAGGCTTAGCTCTCTCGGCAGAACTCGGAGACTTGGTTTCAGTCGTTGAGGCACGCAGGCCCACCGCTGGTTGGCTGGTTGGGATGGCTTGGCGCACACAGAGAGCACATCGGGCCACCCACCGCGACCATTCACCGGAACCGAGCCCCGTCCAATCTAAGTGGCTCTCATCCGTGTATTCTACTTACTAGCCTTTCTCAACAAGACCTATTATTTCTCGGTAGACATGACGTCTATTCATTCCTATTCCCATTCCTAACGGTACGATTCGCGATAATCATCTTTATTCGAATTAAATTCATTTTTTGTTTACTAGTTTTTTCGTTCAACATTGCGAATGAATAAATTTCAATAAGGTAGGTAAATCGATTCGATTATATAAATTATATAGGGCGAGATTCATTTTAAAGTAACCAACGCGTTGCTCTCGTAAACACACACACACACATATGCACGGGGTAAAACACCATTTCAATATGGTTCGAGTAGTGGGAGTAGTATAACAACAGTAGGGAGTAAAGAGAAGATGAGATCCTCTGTTTATGCAGCCGTCCGTTCGCCCGTCCGTCCGTCCGTCCACCCGTCCGACGGTCGGGACGACCGTTCGTCGGAACAGCAACAACAACAGATTCCTGGTGGGTCTTTGGACGACGCTCTTCTGACTCTCTTATATCCCCGTTGTGGCCTTACATCTATCTCTTTCTTTCCTTTCCTTCATCTTGCTCCTACCTCTTTCTTTCTTTCTTTCTCTCTCTATCTCGCTCTCCCTCTTTTTCTTCTTCTTTCTCTTACTCCAAGGCATGGGGGCCTAATGAAGATGTAAGCAGTCAGCCGGCCCCTCGTGCACGGTCGTGGCTTCGTCCTCTGTCTGTCCTTATCACGCCAAAGCTGCGGCCTCCTTGGCCCTATACAGGTCCTTCCAAGAAGGGTAAGACATTTCCAATACTCCTTTACGTCTTTTCATTTTTCCCACTCTCCCCCGCCCCATATTATTATACATTATCGTAATTTAACTATTTCAATGAAATTTTAAATCGACATTTGATACGATGCAAGAATGAAGCTAATGTTTCGATTCAAAATATCGTTATTAGCATAATTATAATTGATTAGCCAAAAGGAAATGGTTAAAAAAAAAAAATTGTCGATTTTCAATTTGTAGGGGACGTTTGGGTGATCGAAATTATGAAAATGGATCGATAGAAAATGATTGTGGTAAAAGAATAGGTTAATTGTGTATAAAGGTGATAAGAATTCGTGAAAAATGCTGTATCCGACTGGCGAGTGTTCTTCGAAGGTGAGGGCAAAAGGAGCATGCGTATATTTTCTCTCTTTCTTTATCCACCTACGGAGTAGCATAAGCAGAGCGCCGCCTTCTGTTGCATGCGGATGCGTTCAGGAAGAGCCGAGGAAAATAGACCAGAAAGAAAGAGAAAGGAGAGACACGATATGCCGCGTGTGTGCCATTCACATCTTCGTTTAGTAAAGTAACTTATCGTTCGGTGCGGGTAAATAAAGCCAATCGAAAGAAGATCGAAATAGACGAACGAAACGAACACCGCGGAGAACGAAAAACAAGAGCTTTTCCCCCAAGAAGACTCCATATATATATATATATTTATATATATTCTGTGTCGAATTTTGCCATTGTTTTTTTGTTATTTCGTTGCAAATGGCGTTGGTAGGACCGCACGTAGCGACGTAAAACTTCGCGACTCGAATTTACAATCGGCGTTGAGGGAAAAGAGAAAAGGCCGATGTGCTTTGTATGTGTGTGTGTGTGAATCGGTGAGGTAAGAGCGCTTCGTGATTGCGCCGGCAAAGCGTTGCGAATTCAGGAGAATGCTTTACGCGTTCTGCTGCTCCTGCCATAAACTTAAACGCGTCTAAAGAGAGAGAGAGAGAGAGAGAGAACAGGCAGGGGCCTCCCCATCCAGTCTTTCACGGCCGATAGAATCATTACGCTTTGTCCCCAGAGGGTAACTAACTTTCTTTCTCTCTCTCTCTCTCTCTCTCTCCCTTTTTCGATAGGGACAAAAGTACGAAGTTAGTTTTCGAAGGAAACACCGCGGTACATCAACATCATCATAGGAGAATAACACTACGCCCGCATATCTCGGAAGCTCTCGAGACTCATCAGCTTGCACGTTGTCATCCTCGTGGTCAGCTTCCGGATATCCGGTACCGATGATGATCCCCCTACTCTTTGAATTCCTCCTTGATCGAGCCGACTCTCGAGGAACACGCATCTCGAATCGTGATCGCTTATCTACCCCCATCGCGACACCTCTCTCGCTTATGCTTGTTTTTTATTTACATATTCTAAATCTTTTTATTTCTTAACGCGATTCCTTATTGTAGACAACGTTTTGATTGATTATTTCGTAAAAAAATAAATTTTGTCTTTTTTTTTTCTTTTTTTTTTTTCATTTGATGAAACACACTCTGTACATCTATCTGCGATATATAAGCTAGCAACGGGTGTTCAAATTAACGTTCGAGCCACAGATAAATATAGAGGGCCACCCAGAGGGTAACTAATGTACCGTGTGGTGGGTGTGCGAGACAAAAACAGAGTCAAGGAATATTTCATTTCGTCTCGGTGTGGTCTCTCTTATAACTTTTACTCTTATTTTTGATTTTTTTCTTACCTCCCCTTTAGAGTTCTCTTTGTCATCCCCACCCACCCACGCCCCCTAAAACTTATCTCTTTTTCTTTCGAGAAAGCCATTTAGTTTTTCATTTATCGTAGAGCTGATAATAAAATCATTCGTATACAATATAAGTTAGTTTAACCGTTGCGACGGAGACTTACCCTGAACCCAAAGTTGTTCGACCTTGCTGTGTACTTGTACCGACTTTAAAGCGACACAAAAGGTAGCCAAAGCGAGTATGGCAACGAAGAGGACCTTCCCCGCGTGCCTTTGCAGGAAGTAGCCGAGCTGACTCAGCTGGTCCTGCAATCGAGCTCTGATCCATACTACTGACCTCTGTCCTTCCGCCTTGCCCTGAAAAATAAACGAAATTCCGTTAGATTATTATCGAGTCATCGATTCAAACGAAACAAAAACAAATAATTACAACATAAAATATAATAAAAGAATGAAATCTTAAATAAAGTTAGTATTATTACGTTACTACAATTTTTAATTCGGAAATGCGTTAAGGTAGCCCAATGAGGAGGGAGGATACACGATGAATTCGCGTCATTTTTTGGTGGAAGTCTTTTCGGGGAAAAGGCACGCACAAGAAAGGGAGAGGAAGGGAGGGAGGGTAGGAGGGGGAGGGCAAGAGAAGAGGACGGAGTGAGATGGAACGGCAGCCAGAAGAGCGTTTTAAATTGGCCGCGTGGGCTTTGACGATGATAAGTGGCGGGCCGCGCATTATACGTGGCTGTTGTACGTGCAACGGCAGCAACGTTGTTGCTGCTGCTGTTGCTGTTACTGCTGCTTCCTCGAAAGAAAGACGTATTATTTATTGTATCCCAAAATTAGGTCCCTTATTTGTGATTTAACGACGTAATATCAAAGAACAATTTTAACTGACGATGACAGGCAAGCAAGTACAAAATGATGACGTTGTTGGAAACCTCGACGAGTCAAATTAGTTTGAAAACTAATCAAGAAGATTAGAAAAAAGATGAAGAAGAGGAGGAAAATGAGGAGGAGGAGGAGGAGGAGTAGGTGGAAGAGGTGAAGGAAGAAGAAGAAGAAGAAGAATATACGAGAGTATAATAGTCCTTAAGAGTTACGACATAGGTCATGAACCCTGAAAAAGGGGGATGAAAATAGAGGGTGTGTTTGAGAAAGACAAAAGAGGAAGAAGAGTTCGTCGCAAGCAACATTGCGAGCGGCAACGTTGCGCTGTAGTACCTGGTGGCCGGTCTGACAATGTGCATCGTGGACCACCCGCAACAATACCTATCTCTACCGGGCCTATACCGAGAGACGGAGATAGATAGATAAAAAGAGGGCTCGCGATGGAAACTTTCTTCAACTTTTTTCAAATCTTACGATGGAAAATCTAAATACGACATGCTCGGTATGGTAAACAAACTCGTTGGTTGGTTGGTTGGTTGAGGAACAAAAATGTAAGTGTACAATAAGATGGATCTTTTGAAAATTTTGTTTGTTTCTTGGCTGATTTTCTTTTGGTAATCACGAAGATATAATGGCGCATAAGTAAACGAAAATCTGGATTATGCGCGTTTACGTATCTCGGGGCGGTAGCAGCGTGGGTATCGGATAGCAAGGTTTTCCAGCCAATTAACTCGGGTGCCCGCGGGCGCATGGGCCCGAGTAACTCTAGACGCATGGACAATCCGCCGTCGACCACATGGCCTCGAGGGATGGGGAATGGGGATGGCGAATGGGGGGGGGGGTTGTTGCCGATGAAAATCACTCTCCATCCTACTTTACTTTCTTCCTCCTTCCTTGTTTCACCTTCTCCTATCCAAATGAGATGCAAATTATCCTCGGAGCTTCTTAGTTATAAGTGGAAAATGCCCGCCCATTTGTTTCAAGAGATATCATCTGTTCTTTTTTTTTTCTTTTTTTTTTTTTTGCTAAATCAAGAAAAAATCGATCTCTTCATTGATTCGCTCGAGTATAGTAACCGTTGTTTATTCGCGGATTTTTCTTGAACGATTTAGAAAAAAAAAAAACACACTCGTCTCATCTAGGATACGGTGAAAGGAAGACACGTGCTACGAGATGAGCTTGCGAACGTTGCGTACAAGGCATAACGAGTCATAACAAGGCATAAAAAAGAGATGACGAACGTTACGGCGAGAGATTTCGAATGAAAGTAAGAGAGAAAGAGGGGGTGTGGGTGGGGGCGGGGGGGGGTAGGGAGGAGGATATACTTAACGAATTTATGTTATTCGTACCTTTAATGTTTTTTATGGGGCGACACAAACTGCGCGGAGAGATAGCAGACAGCATAACAGGATCTTATGTCAACGACGGTGGTCTCCGCGCCACGAGGTTGTAATATGTAGATACTGTCCAGCACGAGAAGCCCCATAAAGCCCGCGGGGACCACTTACGGAAAAAAGAGGGCCTCCTCTTTCCTCCCACCACCACTCAACCACTTCTCTTCTCTTCTCATCCCTTCTCTTTTATCCTACTCGCAACACAAATAAGAGAAAGAGATAGATAGAGAGAGAGAGAGAGAGAGAGAGAGAGACCAAACTAGTTGCCTTTATATAGTTTATTGACTTCTCTTTTCGTCGCACGATGGTATTCGCACGCGAAGTAAACAAAATTTATAAATAAATATTTTAGCTTTGTTAGTGTGTAACACAATCGAAAGATATCTATTTATTTATTCGTAAAATATGGTTGAAAGAAAATCAAATAAGATGACTGTGTGCGTGCAATTGGTGTTATACCCCAAGTGCTGTTGCATACTACACGCGACTTCTTGGATAAACGAATAGGTTCTTGCGGTAGGTACGGCTCGAAAGTGTCTGCAAGAAACTCGATCCGACTGGCGCTCTAATCGGCCAAAGAATTCCACGGCGATGTCTATTCGAAAGGAAAACCTTCCTCTCGGATTCAACTAACGCGAAGGATCCTACCTTCCTCCTTACTATCCACCCTTATATATGTATCTCTCTCTCTCTCTCTCTCTCTCTCTCTCTCTCTCTCTCTCTCTCTCCAAGCATTTTTGAACAAAACCAAAAAATAGATGGAAGGCGAATAGGTCTTTCCTTTATCATTTTCCTTTTTCCTCCTTCCTTTCTATTAATAGGCGAAAAACTTTATTATTCATCGAAAGTGGGCGGGCGGCATCTATCCTTCGTCAAGGATCAAAAGAATTTTCGACTGGGTATACTTTACGCGCGCATCGATTACACACATATATTTCGTTTCTGTGCTTTTACAACACACTGACATTGACATGAGAGAGAGAGAGAGTCTCCGAATTGTCTCCCTTTCCTTTTGTTTAATTCGTTGCGAGATTTTGGTAAAAGGAAGTTAAACACTTCTAATGGCATTTTGTTTGAAAAATGCCGAAAAAGTTGAAGAACTAAGGGATGAAGGTTATTATACCGGAACGAATACAGTCATTTCTATTTAAGAATTTGTGTCGAAAAGTGATGATAGAAGTCCTTTCCGTTTTGACGGACATCTCTCTCTCTTTCTCTCTTTTCTTTTGGCTCAATGAAAATGAACAAAATGATGCCGTTTTTCTCCCTTTCACGTCAAATCAATTTGAAAAGCTTGGTTGAAAGGGATGAAAGTAGGTACGTTTTTCTCTCTCTTTTCGGTATCATACTCCCTTAGATATTCTTTCTCCTAGTAGGTATTATTAGTGTGTAGGGAAGAGCCTCACACGTCGTGTCGGTGCCCTTTAATCTCGACCGAGAGGGCGCGTCGCGGCGCAACATGCGTGAATGGTCGTCATTGTGTGTGTGTATACGTGAGGATACTTTAAACCGATGCTTTTCCATTGTCAGAAATCAAGCCACGATTATGAAATTACGAATGCACCCATAAGAAACATCCAATTTATCTTTGGCAAATTTATAAATCAGAAAATTTAACAGAAAAACATGTAAAAAAAAAATAGAACAACGAGAGAAAAAAAGAAAGAATACAAAATGCATAGAATTCTATCTCCAATTGAAATAATATAAATGTGTTGAATGATTCGGTATCATGCATGCATGAAACGTATGTATGCATCATGCTACATCATCGCAAACATACGGGACGAACGCATACGAGTGAACGGTAAGAAGAGGTCGAGGTCAGTGCCTGAAGCAACAGTACAGCGCAGTGAACGTAAACAAATTCAGATATCCCCCTCGACCCGCTGCCACTTTTATTTCTCGCTTGGTCAATACCTAAAAAATATTCTTCTTTTTTTTTAAACAATTTTTCTTTTTTCCCCCATATATCATTCACATAAGATATTATACAAGAAATTAATCACGATTTGAACGAGGTTTGTTTTTTTACATTTATGCATTTTATTTTATTTCGGATGAAATAACATAAAATATTGTTGAACACATGAACGATTGATAAAAATGATCAACAATAAGACAAACTCGTGAATTACGTTTTAATGTATCATCGAATTTGGTAAGAACAAAGTAAAAGATAAAGATAAAGATAAAGAGAGAAAGGAGATACGTAAAGACTGACGTGTTTTTGGCTCGGCACGCGTGTACGAGAAAAAGAAGGAGAGAAGGCCAGTGCCCGTAACTGACTGACTCATCTGCGATGAACGCGAGTCACGAACCTAAAGAGAAACAGAGAGAGAGAGAGAGAGAGAGAGAAGATGAAAGAGAAATATATATATATATATATATATATATAAAGATAGAGAGAGAAGGAGAGGGAGGAAATACGAAGCACGGCTTTCTTTCGAGAAACTCTCCAAGGGTGTAAAAAAAAGTGGAGCAACGACCTCGAATTTGATTTTTTTTTCCTCCTTTCTGGATACGCATCATCGTCTTTCTTCTTTCTTTCTCGGATAGGTGAGAGAAAGCGAGAAAGAGAGAGAGATGTGGATACATTAAAAGACTGTTTGCTACTGGTCCAGTAAAGATTGTGCAATCGTACAAGCAAACGATTAAAACAGGAGCAAACGTTTTGCTCGTTTCAAATACGGATAACTTAGCTTGAAGGCAATCAAACGTCGATCTGTGTGTGTGTGTGTGTGTGTGGTCTAACATATTAACTATGAAAAAAAGAGAAAAGTCATCTTCTATCCTGACGAAGAGGAGAGTCTACATCTTTATCGTTTTCTTCTTTTTATTATTATTATTATTATTTTTCTTACTTTCCTCTTCCTTCTCCTTTTCATAACTCTTCTTCTTTTTCTGAATGATCGAACGTATTTAAATGCCTGCCTCTATAAAACGTACCGACTTATCCTTCCCTCTCTCTCTCTCTATCTCTCTCTCTCTCTCTTTCTCATTCTCGCAATATTCTTTTCCTTATACGCGTATGAACATATATACGTTTAAACGTATATACTAAAAAGTTCTTTGAACAAGTTTAAAGGGCTTTAGAATTTTTCAAAGTATCCCTCATGAATACAACTATTGATACAAAATGTACTAATAGGAACATTGCATTGCCAGTACCCTTATAGATCATTTCTAAGTGGAACGATAATTTGTGTGCTTTTTTTCAAGGTCTCATATTATACCAAAAATACAAATGAGAGTATCAATGATGATTACATTCAAATATAAATGTCTTAATTCGAATGATCACTTTAGAAAAGTTTGATATAACAATGCAATGCCTCGTTGAGATTGATATTACGAAATAGAAATGAATTTACGGTAGCTGCTGATTCAACAGTATAAAATGATTTTTAGAGACATCGCGAATGTATATCAGTGTCGAAAAGAAACTGGTTTCCTTGAAAGAACGCGACGTCGGACCGCCATTCGAGAAAGAAAGAAATTCTTAATTGGAATCCTAGGAAGGGAAGGGAAGGGAAGGGAAAGGAAGGAAAGGAAAGGGAAGAGAAGAGAAGGGAAGGGAAGGGAAGAGAACGTAGAAACGAGATTCATTCTACTTAACGATTCTCCTAGATCTTATCAATTTCTGATGGAACGCAACAACGAGCGCGTAAGGGGTTTCAAACACGTGAAAAGGGTTAAAAGAAATGTAGAAAGATTCAAAGAGAGAGAGAGAGAGAGAGAGAGAGAAGATTCGATGACAAAAAAATATCATTTTTACGAGGATTCACGTGAATGAGAAATAATAAGACTAACACACAAAATTCCACGTTTTACGATTCACTGGAAGGGAAAAAAAAAAAAAAAAAAAAAAAAAAGGGAAATAAATGATCAGAGATAGGCGAAGTTAGGATGTCTCAATCGCAATTTTGATAGATTCGTTCGGAAAAGATAAAGCAACCAGAAAGGAAGAAGAAGAAGAAGAAGAAGAAGAAGAATAAGAAGAATAAGAAGAAGAAGAGAAGACGAAGGTAATAGGACGTTTTCGTTGCTCGAAGAAAATTCCAAGAAAAGTCGAGCGGAGGTGGAGGCCTCCGCTTCAGGGAGGTCCGAGCATCGTAAAAGACGTTTGTGGGATGGGAGAAAGAGAGAAAAGAAGACCCCGACGACTCCTTCGAAAGGCGATACGCTTCGTTCCCGCTTCGCACGCCGTATACACATTTTCGTCGATCTTTCTTGCCACGAGAGAAAGAAAAAGAGAAAGAGAGAGAGAGAGAGAGAGAGAAAAAAATAAGATAAACCAGGAAGAAGAATCTCCTTGAAGGATCTAGAGAGATAGATAAGAATTAATAAGAGACTACGCTATTCTCTTTATTTATTATAATAATTTCTATATATTAAAAGAAGAAAAAATAAGGACAAGTTCACTAGAATCGGTTGTTAAATCCCGAACGGGAAGAAGTCGAGCAGTTGTTCGAGCCAATCTTCCGCATCCTTCTCTTTCTCTTTCTTACTTAGGTTCTCTTCTTAGAGAGTCCAATAGCCGCAAACGTCAACGAAAGACAGTTCTCTGGACCACCAGCGTGTGTGAAAGTTTACAGCTAGTCGAGAGTCTCTCTCTCTCTCTCTCTCTTTTTCTCTCTCTTTCTTTTTCTCTTTTCTTGACACGCTAGCGGACCCAGGGACTGCGCTTTCTATCTTCTTTTCTTCGCGTATTTCTTTGTAAAATAAGAATACTATTCCTCGGTTCGTACTACTACGGGTCCACCACGTTGTCCACTTCGTTGTCCACCCTTCCTATTCTTGTTCCTGCTGGTGCAGTTAGTTGTTTGTTGGTGCTCATTCTTGGTGAACGATCTCGAAAGGCGCATTCGGTTCTTCAAACGGCCCGACTTTAATCGTCGATCCAAGATATCGGTAACGCTTGCTTACCTTCGTGGAAAGGTAACGGCGCCGTTCCGGTAAACGACCGATATAATTTGCATCGAATTCATATCCTTATCTTTTTTTGTCCCCCATAGCGGTGATGTGCTCTTAACGTATTATCTATATATCTAGATACTTTTTTATCCGATACATTTTTTTTATTATCTTTCTAGATATCCGACATTTCGAGGTAAAGGCCGTTCATAATAAGGAAGAATAAGAAGAAGAGAAGGAATAGGAGAGAAAGAAATGGAAAATGAAAAGTTATATATTATACAGACAAGTTAATAATTAATTGAAAGTGAGGTGGGAGGGTTTGATTTGAAATAAATATTATAATAAAATTATTAATAAATAAGTATCGTAGGGAATTTGGACATTAAAAAGAACTAGAACTAAACATTTAAACTTCGTTATAGTTAACGTTATAGTTAGTTTAATATTATACTATATATAATATACTATATATTAGTATAATATTCGTATAGTTTTTCGAATATTACAAGAATGTATGTCTTCTCAAATGAAAAAGACGCTGAACGTTAGAGATTAAGTTGCTGAAGAAGTACCCAATAAAGGGACGAAACGTCCAATTAATCAAAACTAAGTTCTAGTTCTTTTTAAAATGTCCACAACTTCCCTACGATACTTATTTATAAATAATTTTATTTTTGCAGACGAGAGAAATAATTCATTGAATTATAATAAAAAAACCTTTTCGAGTTGATCCAATGCGATGGCAGCGTCGGTCCAGCTTGGTCTAACGTAAAGATCGGATTGGTGACGTCGTTTGTTGCTTTCGGCGACGGCCTTAGCGTAATTTTCGCAACGATGAGGATTTCCATTTAACGGTAAGCTCGTAGTCGCGGTCGTCGTCGCCGTCGTAGTCGCCGTCGTCGACGAGGAAGATGACGACGACGTTTGCGAGACGGAAGGCCGTCCCGCTAATATCCCTGTTGGGCCGAACGCAGAAACCATGATCCGTCATGCATTCGCTCCGACACCTCTCGCACTCTTCGACTATTTTTAATATCCACCACTGTTCACCACTAATCACCACTAATCACCACTTCGACTTTACCCACCTTCACCTTTTACACGAGTTGTTTTCGATCTAAGTTCGTCCCCGTTGATTGAGAAAAAGAAAAAAGAAAAAAAAAAGAACACCTCGACGGGATGCGTCGTTTCGTTCGAATCGATTCCAAATTCCCGCCAATGCGGCGGCCCGTTATATTTACGTAATGTAAACCGCGCGCGGAACAACGAATATAATATTAATATATATAATATATATATATATATTTCACACTAAATCGTTGTATGTTAAAAAAATTGATATTCACTTATTGCGTTTAATCTCTTTCCTTAATTCGTTTAAATTCTTTTTAAATAGAATTTATTTCTTGATTATTTTGTTGCACTATATGCGTAGAACAGGTTGTTGCACTTCGTCGTAAAACAGAAAATAACAACACAAAATAACACAGAAGCGCGCGCGCGCGTTAACACCAAGGGAAATAAATAAAATCGAGTTCGACGAAAATTGTAATAAGAAAGAGTAGAAGAAAAAATAAAAGAAACGTTGGCGTTGTCAGCGTCTTTGGCTTTAGGGTCGGCGTCGGCGTCGGCGTCGTCGTCCTCGTCCTCGTCCTCGTCCTCGTCGTCGTCGCCGTCTTCGTCGTCGCACGAGGAACGCAGAGAAAGAGCTTGCTCCCGCATATAGATTAGCTGCTCGTACCGCTGCCCGAGCGTAAATACGAGCGTGCAGCACCTCTCTTTTCTTCCACCCTGGGCTTGTGCACTCCCCCTCTACCCGGTTGTTCTTTACGTTAACCCTTCTCTTCTTCCTCTGTTGTTCTCCCTCCCTCGCGGGTTCCTTCTCGGGGATCTCTCTTTCCTTCCGTCGGGTTTAGCCGCTGCTGGGTTTCGCCGTCGGGTTTCACCGTCGGGTTTTGCCGTCGCGAACAGTCGGCGCGCGTACACACGCGAGGACTGTTTTGAAATATCGCGCGACCACCGTGAAGCTATCCGCAGCTCGTTTTCGCGCGAAACACGGATGCGCGCGCGCAACAGAGGATATATATGTATATAAATATATATATATATATATATATATACGAAGGAAGAACACGTGCTTTTCGCTAACTTTATCCAACGCCTCTACCTTTATTTATTTCAAATGCAAATTATCAACACTAATTACTAATTATATGTTTATTTTACCAAGTAACATCCGGTTCACGCACATACGCGCGTAAGATTACTTTTAACAGAGGCACGCGCCGCTCGTATCGTCAACACCAAGCGAAGAAAGAACAAGAAGAACGAGAGAGAGTGTTCTTCCCCACGGTCCACACTCTCTATCTCTATCTTTTTCTCTCTACCACTGAGTTATCACGTCTTCTTCTTCTTCTTCTTCTTCCCCCTCTCGGTCGATCTCTCACCACACGTCTCTTACTCTCTTTCTTTTGATGCTTCTCTTCTCAACCTCCTCTCACCCAACTAAAGTAGTAATATTCTTCCCTCGGGATCTGATTTTCTTCCTTTTTCCTCGTGATCCTCGTTGTCGTCCTCCTCGTCCTCGTCGTTACTATTATCAGATACCGAGGTGGACGACCGCCGCTTAGAGCAGTCTAAGTCCGTACTAAACGAAATCCGCTGCCACATTTCTTTCTTGGCCTGCGCCGGCCATAGCGATGGCTCGTCCCCACTCCAGCACCGGAGCGTGATCGGCCGTGAGAATACACAGGGCCGTACGTACTTCTATCGAATACCCAATACTATTTACAATGCTGCGCTCCGGTATCCCCCTTTGCCCAATCTTTTTTTACTTCTCTTATTATAACGAATCTATCTCAAGTTTATATTTTACAACTTGTCGATGAATAATCATGTCGATTATCGGTCGCATGTCACGATCTTTTTAATTAAACGTATTCGTCTCAAACGTCATTACCAACGATCGATATTCTGCTGTCAATGTTAATCTATATAAAATACATAATTCTTTAATTTACGATTATTTCCAAGTTGTATACGTCAGATGACACGATCTCGATAAACAATTTCTACTAAAGAAACAAAATATTTGGGAAAAGTGCATCGATGACTTGATACGCGGGTGAGCGACTGAATGACATCAGAGCCGAGTATAGCCGAAGATGGTCGAAGGTATACTATCTCGGCTGCGATTGGTCGTAACGAGTGGCGTTCCGCGTTGCTAGGATACGCCGATGCGCCATGCGATCGGTCGAGGGGAGCTCGACGCTGGACCACACACGCGCTACCATTTTCCCTCGAGCAATAACATTACCCACACAGATACGCGGCTCCTTACGCGACACGCACGAGGGCGGGGGAATCGGCATGGTCTTTCTCCCTCCCTCTCATTCGTATTCTCTCTTTCTTTCTCTCTCCCACGCTTACATCTTTTCCTATTCTTCTCTCGTTCTTTCTACCCTCTTCGTCGTCGTTTCTTCCACGCCGTTCTAAAAGCTTTATACACACGCTGCGTCTCGCTTACGTTAGAACGAGTAGGATAGAGATAGAAAAGGTTAGGAAAAGGATGTAAGAAAGAAAGAGAGAGAGAGAGAGAGAGAGAGAGAGAGAGAAAGTTCACTAATTCATCGGACCTTAACAAGAACCTGACTGAAATCCTTTAATCAAGATCGTCTACCGGAAATGAGATGATTCCTAACGATGATGCCCCACGATACGATGTTCAACAATATTAATAGATAAAATCATAGGAAATTAATTTGCGATTTAAATAGTATATTTTTCATTATTTTTCTTTTTCTCTTGGAAGATCGTACGAATGGGAAGGAGGGTGAGGGGGAATCTTCTGCGGTAAAACGATCGCGTGCATTTGCGGTATACCTCAAACACTTTTCGTAAGCAGTTAATTGGTTGTATTTTCCGCGATACGTAAAAGGCGTGACAAAAATGGCGGGCATTTTTTTGGTTTAAAAATGGCGACATTCTGCTATTCCGTTGAAATCGTAAGGGAAAAGATAAAAATAAAGTAGATGAAAAAATAGAAGTATTCCGAAAAGAGTTTAGAAAGAGGGAGAAGGTGGGGGAGTTGGCAGATTGAAAAAGTTAACGCACGTAGGAACGAACATGCGACCACCCACGGTGACAACGAGCCAAGCACCGCTTCGCCAAACAGCAGATAATTTTGCACTCCGAACTTGCATATCGTCGATACACGCTTGCGGCATTTCGTTTTAAACCGAAGCACTGAATCGCCAACGGTTCGATAATAGATGAAGGGGCTCCAATGATAGGAGGGAAAGGCGAGAGTAACGCGAATGATATACATATACTTGACTCCGATTACGAAAAGCGATAAGGTGAAAATGTTCGATATCGATCGATCAAACGTATTAATTGATATCGTTTTATTCTATAGAATGTTGTCGCTTTTATCTCTTTCTCTTCCGGAGATGAATTAATATTCTATTGAGAAATTATCAATTCTCTTGATATTATAATTAATGGAAGACTCTATTTGTGTAGAATATTTATGAATGTAAGTCGCAGAGATAATTGAGACCTCTTGTCGGTATCGTCGTATTCCATCGATAAAAGGCAATATTAGGCGATAATTTTGAATAATGTTGCCGCCTTATTTGGTAAGATAAAAGTAAAGGAAGGAAAAGGAAGGAAAAGACAGGAAGATGAAAAGATTGGTTGATACCGCGTGGTCTACCTTTGATCCACCCCAAGACGGCTCTTCTCGGCACGGTGCACGCCGGATCGCCGACGAGGCACCGTGTGGAGCGACCGTTAATAATTTTTACGACACTCTTAACTCGCCACCCGGTATTAAGCGGTCCACCAGAGAAGACGGGCCTTTGATCTTTGCCGACGCGGTATCGACTTAATGAGTGCGAGAGGGAGATAGCGGGTGAGTCAGCGCGGACTGCGGGGGCACATGGGAGCGTAATGGGAGCGTAATGGGAGCGTAATGCCACCGCGGTGGGGGTGGCCCGAGCTAAGGAGAAAGAGATATCGCTAGGTGAAATCGCTATGAGAAAATTCCCCACCCCCGTCTAACTCTTTTTCTCCGCAAACTTCTATGCTTGGAGTGTTGCCTCTTCTCAGGCGCACATCAAACTTATTTTCTTACCTTACACTCTTATGCATTTTTTCTGTTTTATAATGTATTCAATTCTTCCGATTGATTCATTTGCACATTTGTTTTTGTTTCTTCAAACAAATACCCACACTAACAGCTACTATACTTACGAACGTATGTAAATTTAGGATATCCCAAACGCGTAATAAACAATATCAACCGATGTGGTCTCATGTGAAAAAAAAAACGCGAGACAAATGTAACATTGTAGGAGGGTGAAAATATTAGATAGCCCCGGTTGGATATAAGTTATTACTGTGCTCGCGACTCGAACAATTATCTACCTTTGCGTGCTCTTTAATGCGAGTTTCATTACAAGCCCAGAGGTATCTTATTTCGCTCGAAGCTAAATATTAAATGCGAAAGACGTTTCAAATTGGCGACACGACGATCAGGCAGATGAGGATTGGGAAGTAGAGAAAAGTTGGATCATGCTTAAGCCTCGAGGGAGACTCAACGAAGAATATAAGTATACCAGAGTGTTGTTTCGTCTTTTTTGTAAACTGCCCACACGACTGAATATATCCAGCCCACGTCTAACAAGAAAATACGTAGATATATTCTAACACATGCACGTATACACACAAGCGTGCGAGGACTAGTCCCTCTTTCCAGGACTTCGACTGTAGCAGAAGAGAAAGGAAAGAAAAAAGAACAAGAGAAGAAAGAAAGAAATAAAGAAAGAGATAGAGAGAGAGATAAAGAAGAAGAAGAAGAAGAAGAAGTCGACTACTTCCTTACGCAAAATGACGCGGTGTGGCACGTTCGTTGGTTCGTTCGTTTGCTTGCTTGCTTGCTTGCTTGTATCGGGGTTGCGTTCAACGGTGCGTGCACACGAGAGACGCGAGAGATGCTATCGACCACCAGGATAGCTCTCGGGACTTCTCTCGGGACCACCCATCGGCAAAATAATAAACACGGAATGCGGCATACATGTCCGTTCGTCCATCCGTCCGTCCGTCCGTCCGTTCATCCGTCCGTTCACTCATCCAACCGTTTGTCTCTATTTCGCAGATACGATCGAAAGCAAAGAGACCCTTTCCCTCTTCTTCAACAATTTTTTTCTTCTTCTCCTTCCGCTACTACTATTACTATTAGAAAGAAAAAAGAAAAAGAGAAAAAAAAATACAATAATGAATTACATAATTAGAATATAATATGTATATAATATATATGTATATATATGTATA